ATGTTTAAAGTGCTGATCGAGTCTCGGCCACAGCAGTGTGATTGTCCAACACTGGCAAGAGAGCTAAAATTACAGCCAGGCTGTGAACGGGGGGAAGCGGTGGTGTAAGAAGCCATAGATAACTCCCCCCTTCCAGCTGGAGTGGGGCAGGAGCCCACTTGATTTCACACCCACATCATCATGGCAAGGCTGGTTGGCCTGTGGGGCACTCGGTGAGGATCAAGCAGCAGCACAACCAGGAGCAAGGAAAACCCCCCCCCCAGCTGTGTGGGCGTGAAGGGGGGAGGTTATGGTGAAGACAGCAAAATGCACTGTCCAGTCTGTGAGGATCGAGCAGCAGCACAACCAGGAGCAAGGAACCCCCCCCCAGCTGTGTGGGCATGAAGGGGGGAGGTTATGGTGAAGACAGCAAAATGCACTGTCCAGTCTGAGTCCTGGCATGAGTTTGCAGGTTGGCCCCAGGAGCTGGCAGCAGCCTGGCCAGGACTGCCTTCCCAGTGCCCTGGTATGGGGAACGGTGGTCCAGGCTGTATCTGAATGGGGATGCTGGGGTTAGTGTTGGTCAGAAATGCTTTTGACAACTGATACGTTTTTTCTGTCAGAAAATGCCAATTTATTTGAAAGATATTTCTGTGGGAAAGAAAAGCTTTGCAGAAACTTGTAATCTGGAATGATTTTTTCTTTTCTGGTCAGGATAAGCAAGTAACATTCCCAGGATATAAATGGCAACAAGTCAGACCTGGTGCCTGAACCTGAGTCCTCTGCAGTCCAAGTACATAGTGAAACCATCAAACAATGAGGGAGAGCTGTCTATCTGTCGGTCACCTCTTTTCCTACCATAGTCTGCTGTGTTTTTTTTCACACATAATCATCATGTTTCGTTCATATGCAGAACAGAAATTTTCAATCACCTCATGAATTGAAAGCTCAGATATATTTCTTATTCAACTCTGACTCTGGACCCTTTTCTTAGCCCACCACATTCATCGCACTGGTCCATAAGCACCATGGAGGCTACAGGGGCTGCAGAAATCCCACCTGGGGTCTGCTTCCAGTATATATAATGAATAAAAGATCTGTAAGTGGGTTAGATGGACCTTCTGTATGGAAGAAGTACAAAGTCCTGGTTGCTCAGGGAAATGGGCCTAGTTTTGCCACTTTCTTGAGTGCATGCAGTCAGTGGTGCTTGCAGTTATAGCATAAGTAAAAGAGGAAAAAGGAACACTGCTCGGGGCTGCCCCAACAGGACAGAAATGATGGCATTGTTCCTGCTTGCTTGTGCCTTCCCGCTGCAACTATGCCAGAGTGGAAGCCGGAGCATGATTTTCCCTTGATGACAGCTTTGATCCTATTTTGTGGCTGGCCATGGGTCCGGACACAGACATCTCTAAGCAGTAGTGGGGTGCAGTGATGCAGGAGTGGCCACTGGCATATGGAAACCATCACACCCACTGCAAAGCAGTGCCCTGTGTCAGGCGTTCCCCATTGTCGTCTTTAGGGACAGCAGGGTGAGGGCAGAGCAGGTGCTGGGGCAGCTGAGCAGGAGGAGAGAAAGCAAACTCAGAAAATGTCTGTGTGCTCCCAAAATCTGCCTTGAGTTGAATTACAAGATGCTTATATAAAAACACAGTTAATTATTACAAAGCAACGAAGCGAGGAAACACAGATTCACAGCATATCTCCTGCATTAATTAGTTGCTAAAAATGTAGATCTCAACAGCTGTGAAGCTGCAAACAGGTCAGTAGCAAAACGGTCTCTCCTGGTTATTGTGGTGAGAAATGCTGTTCTCTGTGAGGCTGCTCCCAAAGGCTGTCAGGGTCGGAGGCAGCTCACAGAGCAACTCAAGAAACATGTTTAAATGAGGATGCCATCACCAAGAGCACTTACTGTTCATGTCTGCTCTGGTCTGAGATACATCTAAAAATGTGGAGAGGAGTTAAACCTAGAAATCCACCTAGAAATCTTCAAACAGGTGTTTGCTGTATGTGCACTGCAGAGCGTATACATACAGAACCAAGCATTCCTTCAGTATCTATATGAGCTTTGGCCAGGCATGCTAAAAGCAAGCTCAAGGATGAGAGAAACAAGAAACTCCACCATTATGGAGATCGAAGTTGTTTGCAGACTTCACATCAGATGGCGGTGTGCCTGAGTCTGCTGAGAAGTCTGGATTGGGAGTGGGGGAAATCCAGCAGAATTTATGTTTCTGGCAATGAACAGACCTGAAAACTTGGGTTGGACTTTTAAGTGTATTGGCCACCCTCAGGCAAAATCTTTGTTGCTAAAACAGGGTGCATCTAACCTTTTTCTTTAGGGTTTGCAAATTAAGATTTCATATTATTATAGAAAAATTATAGGTTTGAATAAGGTCACAAGCAGAATGCTAGAAGGAATTATTTCTTATGGTCATGAGTGACTCAAGCAAAACTACAACCAGTGCCAAACAGAACCGGTGTGTTTCCCCACTGGTGGCAAGAAGAGCTATAACCCCACTGGCAGCAAACCGTGTGACTGCCCTGAACACCCTGTTATCCCAGGGCAACTCCACATACAACTTTCCTCAAACTCTTTTCCAACCACTTGCAAACAATGCAAGCGTCTGCAGGAACACAAAACAGGTATCCCTGTGCCCATGGGCTGTGATTGACCTCTGCAGCTGGTCTAGGCTTTTCCTCGGGTGGCATTATCTCAGCAACTTTTGTTCCACTGCTTCTTGTTTTACACAAGAGAGAGGACAAGCTACCTACTGCAGCTTCATACTCCTGTTCATGCTTGCCTTTTTTTGTCTCCCAACTTTGTTAGGGTACTTCACTTCTAAAGCACTCTGAGGAGAAAATTGTGCTAAACAAAACTAATGTGCAGAAGAGGACATTAAAAATATCTTCGGATGAGTATGAAGTGAAGACAGTTCACTTCTTTCATGTCTCATTACTGTTCACTAGTAAAATAGAAGAAAAATGAGTTTGGAAAAGATCTAAATAAATGAATATTGTTTTGCTGCAGTGTGTTGATTTAAGTAAGAAATCTAAACCTGTAAAAGAGAGGAATTAGTCATTACTCAGAAAACACTAATTGTTACATGTCTCAAGATATCGGAGAGAGAATTAAGGCATTTTGCGGGCCATGCAGTCATGTACCCTGTGCATCTGAAAAGTTGTCTGGCTTTTTAAATTAATGTGCAAATAAAAATATCTGCAAATTTGTCACCACTTGTGCAAAGAGGTTTTGAAGGTCAATTATTTACTCTGTTGGATCTGAAGTAACTTCTTTCCTTCTGATCTTTTTTCTCTTCTCCTCCTTGAGGAGGGCATTTCTATAGAAATTATGAAGAAATTGGCAATTTCAAAATGTAATTAGGAGCTTTATGTGCTTCATTTTAAGGACATTTCACACTATGACCAAATAATGGTAAGAACGAAATGCTGCCAGCTGAAAAAATCAGCTGGGGTTCTTAATGTAAAAAAAATTAGGGACTGTTAATGCATGGAGCTCATCTTTGAATAAGGGATTGAAATTAAGTTATTTCAGCGAAGTAAGGGAAAAATTTTCCAGTACCATTGTCTGAATTGACTTGTGGTCTGCCCTGGGAATATATCAGGTATTTGCTGTACCACAGACAACTTTTTTAAAGCCAATGTTTATTTTGCAACCATGTATTGCAACCAAAAGCAGTGTATTTAGTTTCAAGTGTGGTCTTAATCCTGCAAGCATACACAAACATACTGTAAAATCTAAGAAAACTCATTGAATTTACTAGGACTCCTTCGTACTGAAAACGGAGATGGACTTGTTTGCAGGGTTGTATGCTCTTTGATTTACCTGCCTGCTATGCAAGATCACCTTAAGAAAGCTCCAGGAGGTAAAAAGCGATAACCTCAACTTCCAGATGTGTTTTGTCATGTTGCCTTAAAAGGATTTCTTTAGGACACTTTCCAAATTGATTTGATTGGATTTGTTTGGTTTTAAACCTACATAGCCAGTTCATAACAGTGCCCACAGGAAAAAGGAGTTGGTTTTTTGTGTGTGATGTTGATAGTCTGGTCTTTGATTCCTTCTGCATGTCTAGTATTAAGTCAAACTGCCTCATTTTTCTGGGCATTTGGCCCCAAGAGAAGATTCATGGCAAAGTACCAGATTAAGATGGCATCTTTAGAGCCTCCTATATAGTTTGACACGATTTGTTGCCAGGGCATAATTGTTGTTTCTTGCCTCATCCTCTGGCCTTTCTTGTTCACCTTGGCACCTACTTTTAGTCCTCTTTCCAAGCAGAGTGCTGGCTTCTGTATGATGCTCTGAGTCTTTATACAAGGGAGCTTTTCTCATGATGAAATCCTATAGCACTGATGAACATGGCTAAGGCTTGTCATGGTGGAATTTGTTACCCAATGAGGGAGGTCTAACTGACTTAAGCCTTGAAAGTCTTTCACCCAGAAGTCTGTTTATTGAAGTATCTCACAGGTGCATGTATGTGCACAGGACAATCTGGGTGTTACCTGCACACGCCACAGCCAGGGTCCAAGCTGGTGACACTGCTAAGTGTCGGAAATCTGGTCCAATTCCACAGACTGGGGGTGGGAGATTACCTGTCTTCCTACTGTGTTCAGAAGAAGGTTAAATTCACTCTGTAACTGCTGCTCAGGGGTAGGTCTGGCTTTCTTTCACTTAAGTGGTGAAGATGCACAGTACAAGCATTCACGCAATAACATGGCATCCTCATAACACCTTAAACTCCTTACACGAGACTCCTGCTCTATGCTTCCCAAATACCTGCTAAGTTTTTTCCGGAGGCTTGCTTCCAAAAAAACCACCCTCTCCTTGCCCCCCCCCCTTCATTGTTTTGTGTGATCTTTAAAAAATGTGGCATTTCTGTCTAAATAGTTTGCCAAAGGCCTGTGACAAACAATATTAAGTTGTCAGTTGTGAGACATTAAAGAAGTGAAGTGTCTTCACTTCATACTCAATCCTAAGATATTTTTAAATGTCAGAGCTTTTGACTCAGTGGTTATCACCAGCTCCATTTGTGGAATACCCAAAATGGGCGTATATGGATTCAGTTTGCAGAAAGTTCTGTGTTCCCCTTCTGCAAATGTTAGTCCTTAAACATATTTCAAAAATATGCACATTTTCATCAGGATCAGTAAACGTTCTGGAATTTCTGACTGCAATGCATTTCTGCCATCTTTCCTGTTTTCACGCAGTCATACATTCTAAATTTGTTTCCAGATGACATTCTGCCTGGCAGAAACATATAAAGAAAATGGAAATAAATATCCTTAACAATTTGTGAGTGACATATTTGGGTTTGTAAGGGTTTAATTCTGATTTGCTCTTGTTGGATAACTTTTAAAAGGCTGAAACTTTACACTTAAAAATGAAAAAAATAAGGGAGACATAATAATTTCCTGCATATAACTGATCTGTTTCTCAATGTTGTTTATCAGGAAAATTGCTGTTGCATTCAATAGTATCCTTATCTGTTTAGTCCCAGTTGAAACCCACCTCATCAAATCAATGGAACAATCTTCCTTCCACCAAATGCAAGACCACTGTAGCTTATGTTATCAACAATTATTTTTATTTTCAGAATAATTATTTCTTTCTGAAAATGGCATGTAGTGTCAATGTGCTTGATTAAATGTCCAAGAAGAGAGTACATGGTTAGAGTCAAGAGAGGAGATGCGACTTAAATGGTGACAAGCGTAGTTGGGTTTTGTGAGTGAATACCAGTGAAAACTCAGCTTGATGTGGATCCTACAGAAGCAGAAGACCAACAGCATTGTAAAAAGAAAAGCCACCCTTGTAAAAGTCTTGTTTAATTTTAAATTTCCTTGCACCTTCCATCGGGTAGCTTCTTGATGCCAGCTCAGCATCAGAGCAGTGCTAGCTAGCATGTATGCTCACAAACTCAGCACTGAGGTTGAATTACTGTGCAAGCACAGAATAATCCAAGGAGGCTAGATCTGAACCCTGTAGAAGCTAGAAATGCATCCCAGTGTGATGGACTGTACTTCCACAGGACATCTTTTGCAACAGTACCGATCTTCACTATCGCCAAGGGATTAGTATGTAGTCTACAGCTACTACAGCGCCAAGTTTCTGGACAAATCTGCTCACACATTTAGCCATTGGATTCTCCCTGTGAGATTAAAAATTTACAGGAGTTGATGATTTGTCTAATAGGAAGAAGTGAATTAAAGAATAAAGCATAGAGAGGGCAATAGTGCTTGAGGTTTTTCTTTCACAGTAAGACAGAGAAGCAATTAATCTGAGTGGCACTGTTTTTTGAAAGAGTCAGCCACATTTACTTTCCTAATAGCATTCTCTCATTTTTTCTGTAGGTCCAGCTGCCCAGCGCCAGGTCCAGAATGGGCCATCTCCAGATGAGATGGAAGCACAGAGAAGGTGAGTTAATCGGTTATGGTAGAGTTCTAGGTTGTAACTTGGATGAACGTGCAGTCCTTGCTCAGCAATAAGCACTGTTCTTTTTACTTGTACCTGTTTTAAGCTGATTCTGAGTTTTCTCTAATTATTGCTGATGATTTTGTAATGACTTTTAAACGGTGACGTGAACTGAAGCTCTAGGTGAACTCTGCTCAAAGGCAAGCAATGTTCAGAGTTAAAGACAAAGCATGTTTAAAAGCAATTTGTAGAGTGTGTGTTTCTGAAGCACATTAAGAAAACCTAACCTTACCCTCTTGTGGGTCTCCCGCTGGCAGTTGACAGTCATATTGACCAGGGAGCATCCGATAGATGATATACACTCTCAATAATAGCTTAGGCCCATTTTGTGTATGGCTGCTTCCTATATCATAATGCTGTTCCTGTTATGAATGTTTCACTCTAAACCAGGATAATAAATGAAAGTGTAAAGTCATATCCTTCACCTTTACACATATGTCAGACCTGGTGCCATTATTACACATGGCCTTTTCTCTAGCTGCTGGGAGTGGTCTCCTTGACATCAGAGGCAAGGTGGGCAGGAGTGTTTGTCCTTATATGCCTGTCTCTGTAATCAAGTTATGAGGCCCACCTCATTTCAGCTTTGCTGATTCAGCCCCGATTCCTGTAGCCGCAGGAGAAATCCCTGTAGCAGCAGTATCCTCAGCTTCCTTCGCTTTATACTTATCCCATTCTGAACAAAGTCTTCTAGTCTGACCAGTAGACCGTGCTGTCAGAGCTGTGATCGGTCTGCCCAGCATCAGTGGTGTCCACGCCAGCAGCACTGCTTACCCAGGCTTGTGTTTCCCTGTTGAAGTATAGGCTTGTACATGCAAAAAAAAGCACCTTTGTTCCCCATATTCCTGCGCACTGCAAGTGTCTTTCTGCTGCTGTTTGAGAAACTCCAGAGAATATTCTGCTGTAACACGTATCAGCTGCTGAGCCATACTTCATCAGGAGTGCGCTGGAGTACAGAAATTGGCAGGACCTGTTGCTGCTCCAGGTTTGGTGCCTGGCATTGCTTAAATGAGGTGTCTGCCTTTGCTTCCGTTATGAGAGGAGGATCAGCAAGTGCAGTTAACCCTCCAGAGGCCTTGGCCCAATCTTTGGTTCAGATAATAAATAGCTTTGTAAGTATTTTAGTGGAACCAGACCTGCAGGGGCAGTTCAGTACCAAAGATGTCAGATGTTGGCCTGAAATGAGAGGTGCTCAGTGGGTGCTGCCTTCATTTGTAGGTGCAACATGTAAGCAGGCAAGGTCCCCCCTTGCAGGGTCCAGGGACTGCCCTCGGCCTATGGTTGTGTAGCTTAATATCACATACTCCTGGAGCAGCAGAGATGAAGTGTTGTAATATATCATTTGCATTGATGCTCCAGGGCTACCACTCTGACTGATCCCTACACAGAACCATGTATAGGTCATTTAAGGCAAAGCCCTTACGCAGGCTGTGGTAGGTACTTAGGGTTCTCTCTTTCGCCCTCCAAAAACTTAAGGGATGTGTAGGGATTTCCCACGCCTTTATGAATAACTCTGAATGGCCTGAGATTTAGTAGGGATTTACATATGAGTATTAAATGGCTCAGCAGGTAATGATATTTCACTGGAGATTTGTAAGATTTACTTTGGGATAGCAGAGCTAGCCTAAAGGTCAGAGGCAAGCTCCTACTCCCCCAGAGGCGGGGGGACACTGCCTGCTCCAGCTCTTCATTTCACTGGTGGAAATGACTGATTCTTCAGACCATATATAACTCAGACCTCAAATTTAGGTGTCTAGTCTGTACATTTAAGGTGTGAGCAGCTTAACTACGTTAGAAAAAAATAATATTTATTGTTTTTCATTTAGAGACAGTAAAAGCCTTTTGGGTAGGTATTATTTGACTGCTACAGGGCACATGGTTCTGGGAAAGCTTCTTTTGCTCCACTGGACTGGAATAAGCTATGCCAGTAGATGCACTTAGATCTTACTGCATCTGCACTAGAGGACTTTCAGCTTTAATTATGCTGATGCGTTCTTTAAGCATGGAGCAGACCTAATTTTAGGCCTAGCTTTTTTTGAACATCTTATAAGCAGGCAAGGAAATGAAGTTATGGTAACTACCCTGCAAATTTGTCTGTTTAAAAGGTTTTTTAGAGACCTTTACACAAATGTTAAGTGAGTGTGTTTTAAGGCAGGGTGTACTTTGTCCCCTCTTGTACTTTACTCCTTGCATTCTCCTTAAGCAGCCTTGTGCCAGTCTCAGGCTTTATTTAGTTCCACTGAAATAAATTTGACTTCCTAAGAGTGTAAAAACTTCTCCTTTTAGCACATGTGGGTGGGTGCACTTGGCACATATAAACTGCTTCTGCCCAAGGGCAGACAGGGCTAACATGAACTCCAACGACTTCAAATGGCCATGGCTGACCCTTGTTTTGGGGAGCACCCTGCACCTGTATCTGCTCTGCAGCAGCTCTAAGGACTTGGAGATGTCTTACCAATTTTTCTTTCCTGGTCTGTCAAACTGGAGTTTTCCAAGTCCCCCATATAAACCTAGAATTTCCCCCAGGTTTAATGAGGAAAATGTGTATGTCAAGTTGTTCATCCTCACCAAATTTTGCTAATGAATGCCAAGCTAAGGTAGGGGATGATATGCTTAAGAAATTCTTAGTACATGTGTTTATAATTGGAATTTTAGCAGTATAATTGGTGCTGTTGCATATATGTTCAGCCCATAACTATCAAGTAAGAGCCAGGGTATGTATTGAAGTAAAGATTTTTATTTATTTAGTTTGAAGTGTCATAGCTTGAATGAAACAAGTTGAATCGGCCAACTAAGACTGTTCCTCAAACCTGTTTCCCCATTGCACATATAATAATTTCTCAGATGCCTATAACAGTTTTCCAGAAATTGCCTGTGTTCGATGGATTGCATGTCCTGAACATAAAACCAGTTTAGGATTGATCCTTCCACAGTGAAATAGTGGATTTTCTTTTCCTATCTGTTGAATTAGAATCGAAATATGGGAAATTTGTTTTGCAAATTAAGACATTCTTTTTTTTCCTACATAATGTAACCTTATTTTACTGGACCTTTTTCCTTAAAAAGCTTCTATTGGTATGTAAATAAGAGAGAATTATTTAAAATTGCAGACTCGGGAAAGTATAAGTAAAAATGTAACAGGGAAATCTCTCTAAAATATTACATAAGGAGTCAAAATAGAAGTGTTGCTTAAAGTTAAGCTTGCCTTACTGTACAGACCATGCAGTAAAGATGTTGCGGCAAAAAGAAATCTCTATGCAGTTAAGACTGGCCCAAATATACATGGAACAAATTGAAGGCAAACTTGGCATAGAAACCATGGAAGACAAATATAATAAACCTTATTACCAAGTGCTTCAATAAGGTAATTTCAGAGCTGTGGTTTAGTATTGTTGAAATCTTTAGTTCATATCCGTGCACATGGCAAAAAAACCTGGCAACTCTTCTAGTTTTTAGCTATCAATGTTTTTAACAAGAGAAATGCCAGGGTGGGTTTGTGGCGGGGGTCAGAGGGACAGCTCTTTCTGCAGAAGCGTTACAGTGTGCAAGAGAAGACCTCTGCTGATAGACCCTGGGAACTGCGCATCTCTGGAAAGCAGAGCCCGGGAAAAGGCTTGGCAGCACATTTTCCTGCGGGACACCAGGCCTGGGTAGCCCGGGAGCTAGCAGCTCCTGGGGGGAAAGGTGCCAAAAAGGCAGCAGTGCAATGTTGTGATCAGCATTTTGTGGAGGAAACGCGGCAGTCGTGGTCCCCGTGGCCACGCCGGCCGGTGCAGGGATGGAGATGCTGGACGTGAGGTGGCAGGGCTGTCAGCCAGGCTGTCCTGTGCCAGCAAAGGGTTTGGTCATGCAGCTGGACTAAACAGGTTTTGTACAGTCAGCACCTAAATGCAGATCAAGCTTCGTTATATTTTCTTTCTAACTGCAAGTCCTTTGGGCTCCTGATCCATAAGAGACTCAGGACTGTGTCATTTTATGTGAGACGCCCCTTACTCTTTCCTTGTGATGCTCATGTACTTCAGGTTGATGACACGTGTGGTTGCTGTGGTCTCCTGGGCCTTGGGCACTGACTATTTATTCCTCATGCAGAGCTCGTTAAGGAGTTATCTTAAATGGATCAACCAACCCCTGCAGTGTCCCACAGGTGCAGAGCAAAGTCCTGGTTACGCTCACCCAATGCATGCAACGGTACTGCCGTGGCCAGGGCAAGTGAAATCAAACTCACTTCCATCTCATGGGATCAGCATTTCTCTGAGGGACTGGCTCACACCACCTGAGACATACAGCTTGAGTGCTTCTCAGTGTATAAAGCTTTTACTCAAAATTATAAAGAATACATAATGACCGAGGGTTTTTTCATTGCTATTTTAGACAAGTGATGGAACAACAGCAACAGCGCCAGGAATCTCTGGAAAGAAGAACCTCTACCACAGGCATGTATCAAACCAAGCAGATATAGTCTCTCCCTGCTTGTCTCTTCTAGCTGTAGTTGGGTTTTGTGTGGTGCTATACAAGAGCTAGACTGCTAAAAGTGGTTATAGTTATGATTAGGTTTTAAAGCATTTTCAGCTAGAGACTTACATGCATTTGAGCATGGTTGTGTTGTTTTGCAGAGGCTCACATCTGAGACATGCTGGTGGAGCTAGGCAGATTTTGTGCTTGGCAAAAATTGTACAGCTGAGGGGGATTTTAGGCATACCAAGGGGGCCTGGCCTTGCTTCTTCCACATCCACAAGGAGAGCAGGTCGCACAGCCACTGCCAGAGTGACTCTGTGTTTCCCGGGGATGTCAACACGAAGGGGTTGATGTGCTGGATGTGCCAGGTCAGGCGCTCCCCATCACTCTGCATCACAAAGCAAACTACAGCACTGGGGAAAATATAGCTCTAGATGCTCATCAGTGGGGATTTTGTGGTCATGAATTGAGGAGTCTTCTGTGAGCTTAATGGAAAAAATATTTATATTTAATGAGCTTATGAAAATCTTCTATAGCATATTAAGTTGCACTAAGCTGAGAGAAGAGATGACAGGAATAGCTTATAACTCCAAAGTATGGCTTTGCCTCTCAGGAAGAAGGAAGGGCAAGCCAAGATGGCCATCTTGTGTTTGTGCTTTTTTTGGGGGGAAGTTTTTTCAGTTAATCTGGCCACGTAAGTGAAATGCTTTTCCTCAGCTGTTAGAACTTTTTAGTTTTTGACTTGAAACCAGCTCAGACATACACACATACCTTAGTCAGCAACAGAAGTTGTTGGACGCTGTTTCAGCAGAGGTTACTGTGTGCTCTTCTGCATAGGGAACATAGCCGAAATCCTGCCTCAGCATCCGCAAGGAGTGGGACGTGGCACCCAGGGGCTTCTGACTGTCCCTTCCCTGGCTACAAGGTGGCCACCACTGTGTTCAGCATATCCTCCCTTGCAACTGCCTGTGGTGCAAGGGTGGTGCTCATGATCCTGACTGAGATTCACACAGGACTTGGAGAAGCCTCACTGGCACCGAAGCACACAGCCCTACCTATGCTGCCTGGGTCCTGCTCCGCACGGTCCTGGGGAGAGCACGCAGCCCATCCCGTGCTGCAAGGGTCCTGCTCCGCACAGCCCTCTGGTTCTTCCAAGGGTTGGAAGCCCCCAAGTTGGTGCCTGCACAATCTCCTCTTTGCTTTGTTTGAGTTTCTGTTTGCATTTACTTCACGGTTCCTTTTTCTCCATTCCGCTTTGCCTTGGTTTCATTCCTTGCTGCATACCCATCTTATTGTTTTCATTTGTCTTTTCTGTTCTTTTAGTTTCCACCCTTCAGATAAGCGTGTGCTCTCCCCCTTCTCAGCCCCAGTCTCCTCCTCACACCTGCAGTAACTGCAGTACTCCTGCCTCTTGTGCTGTGCCCCCACCACCACCTCATGCCAGCGCTGTCTCTTCGGCACCCTCTGTCCCTGAGCCCACCAGTCAATCCTCTTTCAGATCCCCATGGAGAGCCAGAGAGCCCCCGCAGCTCCTGCACCGGCACTCGGCCTCTGAGCTGCCAACGACCCCAGGTTCCTCCCCTCCAGCCTGCCCAAACCGCAGGACCATAACAGCAGGCATCAGGCGAACTTCACTGTCTCCACCACCTCCCCATCCTTCCCACTCTCCCTTCGCCTCTCACCAGCTTCTCAGGCGCTCTTCTCTTTCATGCTCTCCTCGGTCTTCTGCTTCCTCCGCCACAAACGCACCTCCTCTGCAGAGGGGTAACGTCCTGCAGCCACGTGGTCCCACCATCCTGCCTGTGATTCCTGTCCCACCTGACAGGGTCAAGGGACCTACAGATAAAGCAGGCCAGGAGACCTCAGCAAACATACCTCTGAACAGCCATCCTGAAGAACAAATTGCTTTAGGCCTCTCTGGGACCCAGGTGAAAAGCGTGGACAGGTCTTTCTTTCCACACCTAGGAGCTGCACCCTCCTCCCTGCTGCCCACCATTGCCAGCCCCCCCACCTCCTTTGGCCAGGCTCCCTCCCCATCCTCCCATCCGACATCTCATCCTCCACAGCAGTGGTATCAGCCCATGTCACACTGTCTTCCATTGCCTCCCCCTTACGCTGCTGTGTCTGAGGTGGCTATGCCCAGGAGGACACCTCCTTACATGACTTCATCAGCCATTGCCCACTTGAGTAAGTACTGATTTTGAATGAGTTGCGACCTGTATAAAGCCTTAGCTCTCAGCCATTTAAAAAGCCCCGCTGGCACTGCCTGTGACCCCTAGAAAAAGGGCTGAGAAACTCAAGGCTCCTCCTGCTGTATGTGATTTCTGAAACCAAGGTTGAAAAGTATCGAAATCACTCAGGACCGGTCCAGGGACCTTCTGAGCTACAAGCAAGGCAAAAAGCAAGAACTGCAGGACCAAGACCCTGTAGCTGGGTCGTTGCAATGTATATTCTTACTGTATTAGACTAGAATGAGATTTTTATCGTTCAGCAGAGTCAAATTGCATTTGGCAGCGAGCTTCATACAAAACCTATTTTCAGATGGTCCAAACGTAGCGGATGGGCTCTTCTGAAGCTGGAGGCCAGGTCTGCTGTAGACTTGTTGTCTGTGTAGCAATATTGGTAGAGGTTGTGATTTTTATTCTTTTTCTTAAAGTGGTATTTCTGTTACCGTCAAAAGATATAACATGGATTTTGTTGTAGTTACCCAGAACCCCCTGTGCTTCTGTAATTTATTTCATTCTAAAATCTCTCTTCCTGGTATAAACTGCATTTATAGTTGAGGGCTTGTCACAGCAAACCTTTTTCATTGCAAGCACATCAAGAGCTTGGTTCTGCCACTTTGCATATGGTCTTGATTTCTAGTGCTCATCTAAAGCCTGTGGAGTTAGAACAGTTATGAATAACGCGTATTTGCAATTCAGATCATACGTTTTCTGACTTGGATCCATTCCTGTTTATGACCACATATAATGCTTAAATGATGTGCCTAGAAAAGGAAGAAAACTGAGAGATTGCCTTTCACTTTCTGCTAAAAATATTACTGCAACCACTAGAGGCTCAGTCCTTCAGCTGATAGAAGTCCTTGAAATCCACTTAGTTCAATAAAGTTATTTTAAACTCAAATCAGTCCATTATTTTGACTCAATTCAATTTTTGCCTCAGGCTGGCCTCTGATTAGGTGGGTGTAGTTTTGCAGTTACAATTAACTGTACCCACAATGAATTGCTAGCTATTATGTTCATGAACCAAAGAGGGCTTGAAACATTTAAAGTATTTCTAATAGCAACTACGGTTCATTTCAAGACTGCAGTTAGGAGTGTCAAATAATGGCAGAAGTAACCACAGAAATAAGGCAGTATTGTAAGAAGACCTAGATAAGAAGAAAACCAGGCTGCTAATGTTAAATACAGTTTCCAAATGTTCCTTAGTCAAACTCGATGGTCTTTCAAAATAACACTTACTGAACAACTGAACCTGTGATTATGTATCAGGAGCAGCCTGTTCTGAGAGAGCATGACATGGGGAAGTACCCTTGAGGAGGTGTATTTGTTGATCTGACCCGTTAGAGACAGGCACAACACTGCCACGGAGTTACCCACCATCATCCTCTCCAGCAGGCTGCTGCTTTGAAGAGCTTTGCTGAACCTTGGGGTGCTTGAAGCTGGAGTCTCGTCTCCCCCCCCCACCCCCCCCCGGCCCGTTACTTTGCAAGACCTTTGCTGAGGCCACACACCTTCTGTTCAACAGAAAGGAGGATGTGTCATTGTAGCCCATGATTCTGGTAAAAAGCTGATGTTAAGTCCATGGGGTTGGCTGATGTAGTTTATTATCTCCATGTGGAAAGCTATGAGAGAAGCAGAAGAAGATGCCGCTTATGAATTGGGAAGTGTTGTCTGTGTTTTGATTTCGGCACAGGATAAAACACTAGTGCAGCCAGGGAGGAGGGAGATGGCTAGTTTATCAATGACAGGGTCTCGCAGGAGGACACAACTGTAGCTGATTGACCATTGATGCAACCACTGTTTCCTGTTCTTCTGCATGCTTTGTGCTTCCTTGCGTTGATCAGTCATCATGTAGTCAGGTCATGGCCTTGGGAGTGGGAGTGTGACCTTGTGTATGGGCTGGAGGAGATTGTGCTTCAAGTCTAATTTGTATTCTCTGCATTTCAGGCCCAGCACTTCCACCTGGTCATCCCAGTGGTGCTGCTGTGATCCCTGCTTCATCCGGGGGGCCCCCACCTCCACCACCCCCCC